CCACTGTATCCAGCACTGAAGGATCTAGCCCGTCTGCCACAAGGAGAATAGGTCTCGTAGAAAGTGAAAATGTGGATTAAACTGCCCTTTCAGTGGCGATCTAAGTCTCGGCCAGAAACCAGCCAGGTTCCCCATGCCGGTACGGACTTCATGAAGGAGAGAGGTGGGGCGTCCAACACAGGGTGAACATAAGTGTGGACTTCCGCTCCTTCAACGTACCGCAGCCACGAGTCATCGCGGGACATGGAAAAACGGGACTCAGATCGGCGAAAAAAATTGGCATACCATCGGACCTAGGGGAAATGAAGCAGGCATTGCCCACGGCTACGCAGCTATCAACTCAATTCGTCACTCAAACCGTGCAGGCTGGCGGTGGCTACGGGTGCTGTTTTTTGCTCGCCCGTACGCCCAGGCCCAGCCGAATGCGAGTAGGCAGTGCTACCTGTGGACGCTCTCGTTTCCTTGCCACCGCCATCAGGACGAGTGAACTGAGTGGGTAGGTGGGGCAATAAAAGGTGTAAAATATACTAGAACGGTATTTTTGTTTGTGGCGGAACATTCTCGATTGGAAAGAGCACTAAAAACTTTTGCATGGCAATAAAATATGCGATTACATGTTCATATGTACTCCAAGTGAGAGACCGCAATCCGATTATACTCCTTTTTAACCTCATAAAAATGATTAACGTCTAGCCAAACCAAGGCGTGTGTAGCCGATGCATTCAGACAACCGCTATTCGTTCGAGTGTGAAATAACGGCATTGTTTGGTCAGTTTCAATCTTTCCCAAAGATCGGCTTGGATATTGCAACCAAGTTGTCAATACACCAAGGTCTGAAGTCGAGTTCATGCGACTGCTTAGGATGCCTCGAAAGTAATTGACGTCGTTGATTCTAATGCAAAATACATGTTTGCCTCATCAACAATCGCATTACAAATGTGCCCTGAGTGGCTTTGAGGTCACATCTGACTCATGGTCAACTGATACCCTTGGCTCTGTAGTGGAG